AGAAACCCTGTCTTGAGAAACTGAAAAAGAGAGGGAAAAAAAGGAAAAGAAAAAAAAAAAAAGATGGGTCTAATTCTAAAGACCTGGTTAGCCTGGAATTCACTATGGAGACCAGACTGTCCTGGAACACACAGAGATCTACTTGTATTCAGGACATTGGAATTAGAGAACTATATTACCATATCTGACATTTTATTTAAGATGTTTTGTTAGGTGAGAAAGCAAGATCAGAACATACATAATTTGGGTAAAACAAAGTGGAGGGGCCAGGTGGTAGTAGTACATGCCTTTAATCCCAAAAAAGAAAGAAAAGGAGAAAGGAGTGGAGGGAGGGAGAGTATGGCTGTTCTTAAAAATCAACAGAACAACTGTGTAAAAGATGGCACAGCAGACGTGTCTATAGCCTCAGGACACTGAGCAAGGAAGAAGGCAAACTCAGAGGCAGGTGGGACCCAATCACAAGACCCTGATGAGGCTGAGTAGCTACAGAAGAAATCCCACTCAAGCCACACTCTGGAGTGGAGTAGAAGTTGGTGTCTGCAAAAACAGCTCAGAAGACTGTGAGTTATAACCCTGTAGGAACCCTTAGCAGCCAGCATGGTAGGGCAGCTAGTAATATCACCCTATTTAATGGAAGCTGTTCTGTTGTTTTTACTTATTTTACTTACAGATGTCTGGGGAAAACTGAACGAAGAGAATCCTGTTTTCCTCAGGCAAATTATCATCTATATTCCTTTTAAGGACAGTATGGAGGGATCAAGGAAGAATGCCAACTGTGCACACATCTACAGAGAGGCAAGTGTTTGGGCTACTGTTGAAGGACACTAGCACATTCCAGGGCATTCTGGATATACACCCTGTTTGGAAAGCAGCCACAGTCTCTAATGATTGTGATGAGTGTTGGTCAAAGGGGTTGCTGAGAAGTTCAAGGAAGAGGCAGGGGGCTGGTACCTTTAGGACCATAGAGTTTGTGACCGCTGATGCTCATGAGATCAATCTTCATATCGTTGACATCAAGTGGGATCTTTCCAACAGCCTGGGCTGCATCAGTATGGAAATACACCTTTTTGGAACTGCAAATCTTCCCTGAGGAATGAGAGAGAAAGACCCATAGCACAGTGAAAGTAAGCTGGCAACAGCCCTGCAAGGCACCATGAATGACTAAGCAACTGTTAGGCATATGGAAGCCCTCTCTGCCTTTCCACCTCCCCCCTTCCTCTCTCTGTGCCTCGCCTGATACCTGCCAACTCCCAGTCTCTCTGCTATTACTCTATAGATCAAGGGCAAAACAACAAACCACACACACACACACACACACACACACACACACACACACACACACGCTATGCTGATGCCCAAGATCCTTCATACCACCTCATTTACTATGGGGATACAATATCACCTTTAAATCCTTTCTTACTTAAAAGAAGGAAAGATTAGTGGATATTTTTGCTAATTTGCATAGAGATTACAAGGTAAACTCTAAATAGGGATAAAGAAAGGACAGATGGTCTTTTCTTATTGTTTTGTTATTTGGGGCAAAAATATGAAATAAAATTAAAAAACAGGCTGGATGGTGGTGCACACCTTTAATCCTAGCATTTGGGAGGCAGGTGGATCTCTATGAGTTCAAGGCCAGCCTGATCTCCAAAGCAAGTTCTAGGATAGGCTCCAAAGCTACAGAGAAACCCTGTCTTGAAAAAAACAAAACGAGGGCACTTGACTCTTCATCCTAAAAACTTAACTAGTGGCCATGCTACCTAGAATGCAGTCAGCAAGGCACAGAAGCTCTTCCCTTTTCCGCTTGGTTGTCATCTTCTAACTCTCTGTCCCTGCCCCTTACATGGACCCCAGGGATGGTAAGGGATAACCTATTCATTATACTCACCTATTTCTGCAATCGGTTGCTTTACACCAATCTCATTGTTCACAGTCATAACTGATACCAGGCTGGTATCTGGCTGAATGGCAGCCTCTAGTTCCTAAGAATGTGGGAGTAAGGAGTGTATATGATTCCAAGAGAACTACATGAATAAGAAAGCAGACAACCTTAAGTCTAGAAAAGGGGCCTTTCACTATAACCCTATCTGAATACTTAAATATTAAATAATAGGAGGTTTGGGATGTAGCTCAGTGCTTGCCTAGCATGTGGGAGCAGAGTTTAATCCCTAGTAATCCCAGTTTAAAAATCCAGAACAACAAACGACAGCACGAGGGGCTGGAGACGGCTCGGCAGTGAAGAGCACGTCTGCTCCAGAGGAGCACGTCTGCTCCAGAGGACACCATGGAGGATCACAGCTCTCTGGAACTCCAGTTCCAGGGGATGGAATACTTTCTTCCAGCCTCCACAGGCATCAGACACACAGGTGGTACACAGATATGCATGCAGGCAAAACACCCACACACAAAAAGTAGAAGTTAGCTGGGTGGCGGCGGTGCACGCCTTTAATCCCAGCACTCGGGAGGTAGGGGCAGGCAGATCTCTGTGAGTTTTGAGGCCAGCCTGATCTACAGATGGAGTTTTAGGAAAGGCTCCAAAGTTACAGAGAAACCATGTCTCAAAAAACAAAAACAACAATGACAAAAAATAGAAGTTAGAAAATGGCTGGGCATGGTAGCACATGTCTATAACCCAGATTTTAGGAGGTAGGGACAGGAAGAACAGATCAATGCCAGCCTTGGCAACATTGAAACCCTATCTCATGCTCTTCCAGAGGACCTAAGTTCAATTCCCAGAAATCACATGGTGGCTCACAACCATCTGTAATGAGATCTGATGCTCTCTTCCGGAATATAGGCAGAACACTGTATACATAATAAACATGAAATCTAAAAATAAATTAATTAAGAAATGGTGGACTGAAGAGATGGCCCAGTGGTTGGTTAACAGCAACTGATGCAGTTGTAGAGGACACGAGTCCACACAATGGCTCACAACCATCTGTAACACCTAGACACTCATAAAATAAATCTTAAAAAAGAAAGGTTAGTTGAGTAGGTATTGAAGCCCATGACTATAATGCCAACTCTTAACAGATTGAGGCAAGAGGATCAGGAGTTCAAAATCATCCATGGCTACATGGATGCCAGCCTGAGATTCACAAGGCACTGTCTCAAAGACAAAAATGAAAAAAGAAAAAGCTTACATGAGATCTTAACTAGATCAAATAAACAAATCCCGATTTCAAGCTGCTTCTGAGCTACAGAAGTAAGAGCAGTGTGATTATGGTGTGTGTACAACATGGAAACAGGACTGAAGCACATATTCAAGCCTGTTATTTGTAGACGGGCTCACTCTGGAGTCCAGTCACCTCTAACTCTGGTGATCCTCTTGTCTGAGCCTCCAGAGTGCTGAGTTTAAGGGCAAATTCCCCTCTATCTAATCTACACTAATGTGTTTGTGTTTGTTTTTGCAGTTGTGGGGATCAAGCCTATATAGCCTGTGCATGCTATGCAAAAATTCTAGCCAGGTAGTGGTGGCACGTATCTTTAAACCCATCACTCTGGACACAGAGGCAGGTGGATCTTTGTGATTTTGAGGCCACCCTGGCCTACAGCACTAGTTCTAGGACAGCCAGGACCACACAGAGAAACCCTGCCTTAAAAAAAGTTAAAAAAAAATTCTACCACTGAGCCACATCAGCAATCACCATGCTTCCTTTATAGGTAACATGAATCATCAGTGCAGGGAACAATGAGGCCAGAGCTCATCTGCAGTGTGACTCCCTGACATCCTACACTCATGTCCAGTAGCTCTTCTGTGGTGTGACTTCCCTGACATCCTACACTCATGTCCAGAGCTCTTCTGGGGTGTGACTCCCTGACATCCTACACTCATGTCCAGAGCTCTTCTGGGGTGTGACTCCCTGACATCCTACACTCATGTCCAGAGC